CCAGACAACTCATTTTCTATGGCCTGGGGAAAAACACAGCTCCACAGAACAACACAGAGAGAAACCATCATTGAGAGCTACAGTACTAAGGTCTGCAGTGACAACCAGTTAGACAGTCAGCTGCAATCACTCTAGGTACAATGATTTCTCTCTCTGCAAATGGTTGCTTCTGTCCCTCCTGGAAAGGCAACTTCTAGATTCACAGTGTTTAATGAAGACAAACATGAAGTAATTAACATGCTCCTTCCTCCTGGCAAAAGGGCAGGAACAAGGAGAAGAACAATATCCTAAGTTCTGCGTGGGTTTTTGTGATTGGATGAGAGGCTTTGGTCTGTGAGCTGACCTGGAGTTCATATCCTTTTGGATAAAAACTGATCTTTATACTCTCAGGTGTCCAAGTCTTAGGTACTCAAGAGTTTGTTGGTTTAGGGACAACTCCACAATGAAACACCTGTCAGAGGAAAGGGCAGCAGAGGCTTATCTGACCTCTTTCTTGGGACAAGCATTGTCAAAGAGGGATGTATGACAGAACTGCTCGTACTGCTTTGCACAGCTGTGCTGGACAGGGGAATCCATTGCCAGTTGCCCCAGGCAGCCTTCCAACTGCAGGAAGGCTTCTTACTCTCTCTAGACCCCTTATTAAACAGACTATACAAAACCTTTTGTGTGTTGATGCTATGCTGATGGCCTGTTCTGATAAAAATCTTAATTTGCTCATCGATAGATTCTGTTGCTTGCAACTGGCCTTGCATTAACTATTAGTTTGAGCACAAAAAACAAAAAAAGGCCTCTAGGAAAGAAAGTGTTAGTGAAAGCATGTTTTTCTCATCTTCTATCAAAGCTGAGCTTATCTTCTATGTCTTTGCTTATTTTGGGTGAGTTTTGAACCACCAACCAATTAAAATTCACCAAATATATCAAATAACTTCACCAAGTAAATTAAAATTCAACCAAGTAAAATTCACCAGATAGAAAAAAACACCTCTGGAATAATATTAATTCTGTATTTGCATTGTGATGATATGAAAAAATGATCACGAAAAAACTGTGACTGCTTCCTGAATATGTTTGTAGGTCCTAAAATACATGCCATTTGTGGTGAGCTGGGCTTGTGACAGATCTGGACACATATGCAATTAATGTATGATAAATCAGATTAAAGGAAGGGGAATCATGGTTGTTTAGGCTTGAGGAACATTTGGAAGATAGATTTGATTGAGTTAAACATACAGGCCAAGACTTATATACAGGAATAGAAGACCAGTGTGGTAGATACATAAATAAACCCCTGTGGTTACAAAATGATCCTGAGCAAAAAAAGGATAAAGAGTGAAAACAGTGGTACAAAACTGAGGTTCACTATGAGCAGTGAGAGAATATGAACAATGAGAAAACAGCTTATTAGGTGTAGATTTAGCTGCCCACTTTGGTCCTCCTCAACCTTTTCATCTTCAGCTTTGAAGTACTCCTGGTTTCTGAACATGAAGCTTAAAAGCAAAGCAAGGTGTGATATACTTCCTGTGACTCTCAGGGTCCAGGCACACCTCACAGCATTTTATTATATTACAGATATTCTTCAGGCTACCTATCTTTGGAAAGCACTTCTGTCTCTCCTGATGTCCATGGTACCACCTCACCTCCTGAGACACACAGATGAAATGGGGACCCCCCTCTGCCTGTGGATACAAAAGAGGGTACTTGCTTAAGTGTTCAATGCCCTGGCTCACTGGTACACCAAACTATTGGGTAAGAAACACCCTGTTGTTATTCACTACTTTTAAGACAGGTTATGGTGAAGTGTTGATAAAAGCATTTATTCATAACATCCAATAGAGGCAACACACTACACAATATTCATAAAAATGTAAGTAATTTAAAAAAAAGGAGAAAAGCATAATTCTATGTGCTGAGGTTACTTTGGAAACACCTTGCCCTACTGACCTATTCTTGGCACTGGTGAGGCCACACCTCTAATACTGTGTTCAGTTTTGGGGCTCTCACTGCAAGAAAGACACTGAGGTACTGGAACATGTCCAGAGAAGAGCAATGAAGCTGGTGAGGGATCTGAAGAATAAGTCTTATGGGGAGCGGCTGAGGGAGCTGGGGTTGTTCAGTTTGGAGAAAAGGAGACTGAGGGGAGACTTTATCACTCTCTACAACTACCTGAAAGGAGGTTGTAGAGAGGTGGGTGTTGGTCTCTTCTTCCATGTAACCAGTGACACGACAAGAGGAAATGGCTTCAAGTTGTGCAGGGGAGGTTTAGATTGGATATTAGGAAAAAATTTCTTTACTGAAAGAGTGGTCAAACACTGGAACAGGCTGCCCCGGGAGGTGGTAGAGTCACCAACCCCGGAGGTGTTCAAGAAGCGCATGGATGTGGCACTTTAGGACATGGTTTAGCGGGCATGGTGGTGTTAGGTTGACGGTTGGACTTCATGATCTTAGAGGTCTCTTCCAAACTTAACGTTTCTGTGACCTGATCTGGTGTCTGCTCAGACAAAATGGCTGACAGTTTTGGCCATATTGGATAACTTGCCCCTTTTCTGAGGCAGAGACTCTCATAATACAGAAGTTCTTCAGGATTCTCCATCTGACAACTCAGCCAAGGATAAAGCTTCTCCCAGAGAGTTTTCATTAAGAAAGCATCATATCCTTGTAGTTTCACAAGGCTTGAATACCCTTGCAGCTGCCCTCCCTCTGAAGGCAGTGGAGGGTGAGTGAGAGTCTGAGGTACTGACTGAGCTGCCCAGCCCCCTGGCTGCATCCATGCACCATGCTCACACACCACGCTTCCAGAAAGATGGAAATTTTCCTACTAAAACTGCCTCCTTGCTGCCTCCCTTTCAAGGAGATTTTTGGCCATTCCTCTCAGCAATGCTAGGGCTATCTCAGTGCTTTAAAGTACCTGGTAGCGTCCCTTTAAGGCTGGATATCTTCTCCAGCAACTGTCTGGCAAAAGTTCCCTACCTCAGTGAAAGGCAAAACTATCTTTCTTTTCCTTGTTATTTCACCAGGATGTTTCTGCATGGCAGCACCACCCAGTCTACATCAATCTGTAGATACAAACATATATGAAGAGCTAAGTAGGATATCTGTACACATTACTGATGTTTGATTGACCAGATGGTGGAGATTTTTGATCAACAGTGCACCTGGGGACACTCATTCCCCATTCCTTTTCTTCATCAGCATGCTAATAAGTATTTTATAGGTATTATAGGAATAATGTTTCCTGGAAAGCACTTCTATAATCAGAAAGAGCAGACAATCTTTTTAGGTTTTCTTAGAGGCTGAAATAGAAGCAGTGGGCCTGACTTTAAAAAAAGTGAGAAGAATTATTTTGTGCTGCAGTACAGACATGCATCTGCCAGACTATCTGTGGGGAAAACCAAGCCAAGCCAAACCAAACCAAACCAAACCGCACCACTTGGCTGATACCTGTGAAGTAGAGATCTATCAAAAAAAATAACACTTCCACTACAGTCTTGTCTTACTCAAGCCCTCAGACTGCCTTAGCAACAACAACTCAGCAAGGAGAATATAGATTTCCATGGCACATTTATTTTCACAAAAGGAAGCAGACTGAGGCAAGGACAACTGCACTGTCTGAAGTTTTTACAGCACTACAGGGGCCTATCTGTTCTCCTTAACAGAGATCAGTCATCTCCATACGGGTTCTAACGAATTATGTCACACTGACTTTGGGATTTTCCCCCTCCTTGTTTTAAAATCATATAGTGATTTACAGAGGTCAGAACAGTTTCTTTACTGTTTGTCCTTTCTATTAGTTCAATACAGAACAATAGCTTTTATAATTGAAATATATTTGCTATTGTATATTATGATTGTCCCACAGACCATGAACACCCCTTTAGCTGGGTTTCACAGTTCCTCTGCCATCTGGCAGTTCATTAAGTTACCCATGGCAGATCTGAGAGATATGTGGCAAGTGTAGGCCAAAACCCACATTTGGAACTGGCAACTTTTTACTTTATCTGGGGCTATGGTTTGCAATTATTCCCTAAAAATAAAAGAGTTTGCTATAAAACCTTCACACCTACCCAAAAGATCTCTTTTAAATATCCACACTTTTTGAAGAAAATGTGCCTGCTTTTGACTTTCATCTCAGGTGATTTTCTCATATGCTTTTCTCATATTCTCTATTTCCCCAGTTTTGTTAGTAGTACAATAGGCCAAGTCCTGTTCTCACTTACCTTCCGTCTAGCACAGCTCAGCTGCATTTTGTACATTCAAAAATGATCAATTGAAAGAGAGGTCACAGAATCACAGAATCGCTTGGTTGGAAAAGACCTCTGAGATCATCACGTCCAACCGTTCCTGTTTACCCACTAAACCATATCCTTAAGTACCTCGTCTACCCACTCTTTAAATACATCCAGGGATGGTGACTCCACCACCTCCCTGGGCAGCCTGTTCCAGCTTCTGACGACCCTCTCAGTAAAGAACTTCTTCCTTATCTCTAACCTGAACCTCCCTTGGCACAGCTTGGTGCCATTTCCCCTTGTTCTATCCTCCATCACCTGGGAGAAGAGACCAGCACCCACCTCTCTACAACCTCCCTTTAGGTAGTTGTAGGTGGCCTTTTACTACAACCATAATAACAGACTTACTAATTATTGACAGATTGACTAATAACTGCTAATTATGTTTTGCATCACTATGGTTTTCATATTTTTTGTTTTTTATTATCATCCCAGTATTTAGTTGCGAATGACGCTTAAAGAAACATGAGCATTTTTTCCCCCGTCTTTTCTCCAATTCAACAGTGCTGATGTACTGGTAGAAAACACTTTGTTATAGAGAATAAAAACCTAATATTTGCTCTCCCTTCAATAAAAAATGGACCCATTGAAATGAAAATCTGAGCTAATCCCATTAAATCATTTTTATGGTGTCAAAGGTCAAACATCTGAAGGGGAGCAGCGGGGTGGGTCACAATTCAGACTGTATAAATTCCCAAGGGCCCAGCCAGTCTCTCCACGAACAGCTGGAGAGCTGTATTGCCTTTGGTGCTGAAGCTCGAAAGGTAAGCATTTCTCCAGAAAAATTTACCCTCTCACTATATTACTTACGCTGTATTGCCTTTGGTGCTGAAGCTCGAAAGGTAAGCTTTTCTCTAGGAAATTTTGCCTTCTCACTATATTATTTTTTGCTTATGCCTAAACTTAAAAAAGAACAGTTATTGTGTTATGTTTAGTATATTTACATGATATTCTCTACAAAAACTTCTCACCTGTGTGTATGCATACTGCACTATTTTATTATGTGTAAAACCTGAGTATTTCTTTACAGGACACTTCTAACACTTTATTCTTTGGGCTTAAAATATTATTCTTTTCAGAGCAGGTTATCCTCTTGTTCGGTATCTTTGATTTTTGCAGCAAAGGAGTAAGTTTGCTTGATTGACCTCCAGTTCAACAGAGTGCATTGAGAGCAAAACTGTGACATTCAGTGACTTTGCTAGGTTTATTTTGGTGTGAAACTTCTTTAACAGCTGCATCCCTGAAAAATACAGCTGCTGAACACTACAGAAGATAAAATTGTGTGTGGATGTACAGACTTGTAATTTTACAATAATACATAAACTTGAATGCACTTCTGTACTTGTATACAGAAAGGAAAGTGAGAGGAATGTGTGTGCAACTTTGTGTGTATACTCATGTGCATGGTCACTAAAAGCTTTGGTGTGGTTTAATACGCAAAAGACAAATTTGAGATCCCAGCATTAAGCATCTGAATAAAGGGCTGCATTTTGAAAGAAAACAAACTTTCTCAATTTCTAGAAATCACAGGCGCCACAAAGAAAAATTCATATAACAGTACTGTATTATGGTAGACATTGCTGTTCTTTCATGTCTGCATTTCTATACTGTATGAATGTCACTAACAAAATTTAATTTCTCAGAAAGGTTACAGTGTAGTATATATAGACATATTTAAGCAAAGCAAACTATATCTGAAAGCACAATAGGGTGGAATATTAATTTTGTGCATCAGTCTTTCCTAGACAAGGTGTTACTGCCTACTATATTGCCAATATAATCATATCATTTATTACATATATTATGCCAATTATATTGCCTATCCATGCTTTCATTACTAAAACAAGGTTAAAGATACAAGCTTTTGAAGATCTACTGACAGTAAGTACTGTGCAACAAGTAGATATTTTACTGCACTGATTTATTTTTAGAAAACTTAAAAAGTCAGCCAGCCTCTGCTTCTACTTATATCTATTCAAACCTAGAGCAAGCCTACTAAAATTTGTACTTTAAATTTCCAGCTTTGCAAGTACGTCAAAGACAGATCATATTTTGCTGTTCTCATCAAAGGTACTACAAAGGCTTCACTGAATGAAAATAAGTACAGGCAATTGTTGTTTGACTGCTTTGAAAAGGTAAACAGAAATCACATACAGATTTATGACCCCTGAAGAACTTTACTGCCCAAAAGGCAACTGAATACAAATGGAAAAGAAAGATATTTATGAATACAGATTTTCTAACATGCAGGAGAGGTGGGCATGGCAATAGGCATGTTGCCACAGAATGACTTTAAACCTACTTGGTTATATTTATTTGCCTAAAAGCCACTACTAAAGTGCATTGCGCTGTGTTTGTACGGTGTTCCTGTGCTACATTGTCATTGTCATTGTACTTCTGCTGTTTGCTCTAGGCAATACCGGTTTCACAATGGCCTCCATTGGTGCAGCAAGCACGGAATTTTGTTTTGATGTATTCAAGGAGCTGAAAACCCAGCATGTCAAGGAGAACATCTTCTACTCCCCCATGGCCATCATTTCAGCTCTGTCCATGGTCTACATAGGTGCAAGGGAAAACACCAGGGCTGAAATAGATAAGGTGAGGCTACAGTTAAGGATTTAAACCTTCTTCCTGCTCAACAGATTCATAGATCTTAATTACATTATAATGTCCCTTGCATAGCTCAGAGTCTAAAAAAATCTTTATCCAGAGTTATCAAAAGCTGTGGTCACCTCAAACTGCCATAGTGCTAAACAAATGCAACAGCCAGAAATCTTGAAACTGGCTTTAAATTTTAATTTTATCATTGTTAGCAGTAGGATTCTCAGAGAAGAACACAATCCAGTGGTCCTTTGTGTAGAGTAAGAAAAGTAGATAAAATCTCCAGGGAAATAGCCAAAATATGTCTCCAGTCCGAAAAATTTTTCATATCAGTTTCCTTGCAGCTCTCACTTTCTTCATAATGTGGCTGTCTTGTTACCTGGAAGAAAGTTAGTATTATTGACAGCACACACTGGAGCTGATTTCTACATTTTTAATACAAAAAAAGATCATCTAAGCAGACAACAGTAGGCACAGCTATTCAGAGACAGCACAGATGAACTGCAACTTTTGAGTCATCCAACTTCTCAGTTAGCCAACAGGCTTACTTCAAACATCATGAATGGATCTCAGTTGTGTAACCTTTTTTGTCATACCTGTTATTTCAACTACTGTTTTTATTTCAATTACAGGTTGTTCACTTTGATAAAATCACTGGATTTGGAAATGCTGTTGAATCTCAGGTACAGAAATAATTTTGTCTCCATCTCTTTGTCACTTTCTCCTGGGAGCAAAACCTAGCAGATAAAGCAGTCTCCTAGCAGTTTCAGCCCTTCTCTGATGAGTAGCCAGTGCTTTGCATCCAGCAGTTGGGAGGAACAATTTGTTCATAAGAATAGAGAAGGGAGGTAACAGAGGACTCAAAACAAGCAGAAGATGAAACCCAGCACCAAAATATTGGGCAAATAGAGAAAATTATAGGTACTTGTATTCTTAAGCAAGGTAGCTGGATGTTACTGGTTAAATGGGACTGGTTGGGAGTGGAGGAAAGCCTATCTAATCTGCTGGAGCTAGATTAATGTAGTGGGTAATTAAGAGTCCTCCTGAGAGAGGTATGAGGAAATTACAGTAGAAAACCAGCACAGAGTTGTATATATGAGAAAACTACTACATCAGTGTAGTTATAGCAACTAGATATAGAGGATGAACCACAGTTTTGTAAGCAGAAGCATCTGAACTACTTTCCTCATATAGTACGAAAAATCTACTAAGTACTAAAACTAGGATAACATCATCAATCTTTTTATTTGTGTTCATGCCAATGATTCAGTGCGGCCCATCTGTGAGCGTTCATTCTTCACTTAAAGACTTGATCACCCAAATCTCCAAACGAAGTGACAATTATTCACTCAGCTATGCCAGCAGAATTTATGCTGAAGAGACATACCCAATCCTGCCGGTGAGTTGCTCCAAGATCTGATTTGAGTGTATTTCCATGTTAAAGCTGTACCATTCTGTAATAAAAAAGCAATGTCAGAAGTCTAGCCCTGCTACAGAAATTGTCTTCCCTATGGAAGATAGGATTCATGACTTCTCTCTCTCACAGCCCTAACCCTTTACAGTCTTGAGAAAAAACGTGCCCAGCCATAAAGGTATTTGTACAAAATACAATCATGATCCAATCATGTCGAGTATAATTGATAAAGGTAACTTTCGTTAGAAAGAGTTAACTCCAACTGTTTTCTTAAGTTGTAAAACAAATCTGAAAAATAACTTCAGGTTTTTTGAAATATTACAAGCTTTCCCATTGAAAGGAACATTTAATTTGAAATTAAAGCAAAATAGCATTGCAATATAAAAAGCTAAAAAAGTGGGCAAAATTTAAACAAAACCTCCATACTTCAATTGAAATGAATGCCATTTTTTGATCAAACTCAGTTCTGGAAAATATTTTTTAAAATGTGAATGTGTACTCTTGCTGAGAGCAATGAATGTCAAATCTTAAGATGCTTAAGAACTAGAATCGTGGCTCATTTATTAGCCTTAATAAGTAGATTATTAATATCTGTTAATTTCAGTTTTGCATTTAACATTTGCAAAATGCTTTGACATTCTGGTCTGAAAACTGCACACTCTTCCTTTGCAGGAATACTTACAATGTGTGAAGGAAGTGTACAAAGGAGGCTTGGAAAGCATCAGCTTTCAAACGGCTGCAGATCAAGCCAGAGAGAACATCAATGCCTGGGTTGAAAGTCAGACAAATGGTAAGAGCAAGCCAAGTATCAGCATAGGTATTTTACCTTCTGCCACTATGTCTGAACAGCATATAAGAACACTTAAGTCAGGAGAGAAAAAAACCCCAACTTCTCCCTCTATTCCTGCTCCTGGATAATGGACCAGTTCCCAGATATGGAACTATCATTTAACAGTTCTTTTCCTCCCCTGAGCCACATCCCTTTTAGAGGACCCTCTCTATCTGTAGGGTTTTTGCAGGTCTGTAATACATCCAGTTCTGATGAAAGGGACAGCACTTGAATATGCTTTGTACACAGTGACAAGTGGTTTGACACTAATGTTGAGAACCTGGATATCCTTTGATCAGCACACTCTGCCCTCAAGCTTCCCAGAGTTGTTGTGTGCCTTTAAAGTAGGGCATGCAGCCATAAGGTACTTGAGAAATCTTAACAGGTAAAGAGCAATGGAAAATTACAGAATCAAGGAATGATAGGGAGATGTATGAAATGCATAGAAAGAGGTATACCACAATTGGGATTTTTACCCCACTGTACTTCCATGTGGTTCCTCCATTCTTCCAGTCTCTTCCTGGACCACTCAAAACACTCTTTTCCCTCATGCTTGAAATACATGGCCTGAATAGCAAATACAGATAAAAGATACTGAATTTTAACTGAATGAAAATATTCACAATCACACAACCTCTGGTGTGGTGTCATACTTTGAAGGAGAAAACCAGGTCATGATTAAGCTACTGGTGGGAAAGGACTAAGGGAGGAGGTTGATATCTGCACAAGGAATGCAGAATACACAGAATCACAGAATCACAGAACGTTAGGGATTGGAAGGGACCTCAAAAGATCATCCAGTCCAATCCCCCTGCCGGAGCAGTAACACCTAGATGAGGTTGCACAGGAAGGCGTCCAGGCGGGTTTTGAATGTCTCCAGAGAAGAAGACTCCACAACCTCTCTGGGCAGCCTGTTCCAGTGCTCTGTCACCCTCACTGAGAAGAAGTTTCTTCTCAAATTTAAGTGGAACACAAGAACAAAGTATAAGAAGAAAGCAGAGTAAAATACTGGATTAGTTTCCTGTTACCTTTTTTATACAGACAACTCCTTTCAACTTTGATTTGAAGCAAGAAGTATTTATGTTTACTGTTTGGGACGGAGAAGTTTCCAGTGGTTCTTCCCATTGTCACGAAATGTACAGATTTACTAGTTTTGTAACATGTAACCCTCTGGTTCTTATTACTCTTTTTGTAATTCTTTAGAGAGCAAAACAACAACTATTGCCAACAGCAGTGAGCAAATTAAACTCAGAAGTACAAGATTACAGCTGAAAAGAAACCCCAACCCACAAAGTACCTGCTCTATACTCTCCTCCCCACAAATTCTATACCCTTCATTCAGCCTTGTGATTGCCAAGTAAAATTTGTTGTACACCGACATGCTAAATACACATGTTCTGTTTTCCTATTCATTCCTTAGGAATGATCAAAAACATCCTTCAACCGAGCTCTGTGAATCCTCAGACTGAAATGGTCCTTGTCAATGCTATTTACCTCAAAGGAATGTGGGAAAAAGCATTTAAGGATGAAGACACCCAGACAATGCCTTTCAGAGTGACTCAGGTACATGGGTATATGTCACCTTAAAGGTGTCATCCTCTAGAATTTATGAAGAGAGCAGACATGTTGTTACATAGTCTTCCTGGACAAGAGCAACCAGTAGTTTTTACCATAAGTAACCATTTCTACTGTCTAAGAGTAATCTTTGTAACACTCTATTATCTTATTTGGCTTTGCAGCAAGAAAGCAAACCTGTGCAGATGATGTATCAGATTGGTTCATTTAAAGTGGCAGTGATAGCTTCTGAGAAAATGAAGATCCTGGAGCTTCCATACACCAGCGGGCAGCTGAGCATGTTGGTGCTGTTACCTGATGATGTTTCTGGTCTGGAGCAGGTATGGCCCTGGCAGCTGGGTTTCAGAAAACCATAAACGCAGTGGAATTTAGGTGCTTCAAAGCCCTTCACAATAAAGTTCTTTTAAAACATTTCACCAGCACAGATCTGAGCGCTGGCAATATAGGATTGTTGCATAGAAGCACACAGCTGTCTCAGTGGGCCTGCAATTGTTCCTCTGCAATTGTTCTTGCTGAGTACAGATTTCTTAAGTAACTGCTTTAGTGGGTAAAATATTGAACACTGGAGAACAGATTCTTCTCAGCTAGGCAGCTGTTACTCCAGCAGTTTGAACTCCAAAGGTCTTATATTTCCATTCTTGCACAAAGAGGAGCTTCCTGGGAAGTTCATGTTAGCTTTACTAGCTGTAATTATTGTTTGGTTTGGCAGTGCTCAACATGCTTCCTTCATACCTTCAAAAATTAAACTATCTAAAAACTGGATACGAGCAGCACTGAAACAGTTAAAGCCATTTCAGAAAATAAAATGTACATGACATACTACTGTTGACATGTACAGAATACAGGCATGGGCTATTGTCATTAGGAGGACTGTAGTTAGTCTGAACGGGAAGCTATGTAATAAATGAGAGTTCATTGAAATGTCTGTACACTAGCTCAAAGAATCTAAATTATAAAAACTAAGAGGCATTTGAACACAGCTAAATTTCCATCAGATATGACTGCAGAAATACATAATGAAGATTATATACAGTTCTGGAAAAAAGAAAGAGTAGGTATATGCAAGAAAACAAGCACTGTATATTATGATTAGATGAGTCTGAAATGGAGGAACTTCAATAAAAGAGAATTTGTGTGCATAAAGAAAAAAACATATTTGGATAAAGATGGTAAGAGAGACTATATTGACACGGTGTTACTACATACTGTCATGGCAAGATCTGCATACTTAGTAAGTTAGCAGTGAAAGAAATATTACTAAGTACAAACCAACATTAGTAATGTTGAAAGAAACCAATTATTCTGGACGGTGATCACTAACAAGGGTACTTACTCCTCTAATGGTCACCGATGCAACTGATGACTATGCTATTTCAGACTTTCTTAATTTGCAAAGATAACTTTGAACTGAGTGAACTTGGACTGGTACAGTGCAATTAAAATGGAAAGACAGCTTACAACTTAGCTTTTAATTTTCAAAAAGCTAAATTGTCATTAAAATCCTAGTTTCTAGTATAGTAACAACTGATAGTGCAGGTATTGGTAATTGGTTACCATTAACACCTGGTTACTTGGAGGTCTTAAATGTAGATAGAGCTTACAACTCAAAAGGACAGAATGATTTTCAGAATATATTTCCCAAGCAAAGATGATAAATATGGAAGAGCTTTATGAATCTGCTGAGTAGACATCTCATTAAAAAAAATTAATTGGCAGTAACCCTATTAAAGAAATAAAAGGCAGGACAGAGCAGAGAAGAAAGAGTCATAGTTTGTTTTCTTCTCCTAGATACATTAATCTGTATCTACTTAGAAAAAATCCGATGAAACGAAGTCAGTTTAAAAAAAGACCTCAACACCACTAGTACTGCATTGTCACAAAGGAAGTTGTTCTGTCATCCCAGAGACCTCATTCTCTTGTCTCCTTACAGGTTGAGAGTGCAATCACCGCTGAAAAACTCATGGAGTGGACCAGTCCTAGTATAATGGAAGAGAGGACAATGAAAGTGTACCTCCCCCGCATGAAGATGGTGGAAAAATATAACCTCACATCTGTCTTAATGGCCTTGGGTATGACCGACCTGTTCACCTCAGTGGCCAATCTCTCTGGCATCTCTTCAGCACAGGGCCTGAAGATGTCTCAAGCCATCCATGAGGCATTTGTGGAAATCTATGAAGCAGGCAGCGAAGCAGTAGGCTCAACAGGAGTTGGGATGGAGATTACAAGTGTCTCTGAAGAATTTAAGGCTGACCTCTCTTTCCTCTTCTTGATCAGGCACAACCCAACCAACAGCATCATCTTCTTTGGCAGATGCATTTCCCCTTAAAGACAAGAAAGGTGAAAGATTCTGTCCCTCATCGCAAGACCCAAAGCACTGCAGTATCAAGGGTAAAAAGAAAGGCATACTCTCTCTTTCATCCGTACTTTCTAAATCCAGAAAGCTTTCTTTAAAAAAAAAAAAAGTTAAGTCAGAGAAATTATGCCATCAAAACAGCATATTCTACTTAAACTAGGTTTCTCTATGGCCAAGCTTTGTGGTGAGTCCTCAGGAATTTGTCACTTGAGAGCTCCCAGATTAAATTCTCAACTGTCACCAACCATTCTTACTCTGACAAGGCAATTGCTTTTTCTTTGTGCTCCTGATACTGCAAGGCTTTTCCTCACTTTCTAAAGATGCGTTATAAAAATCTTATAATTCATATTTCTCCTTAAACCTTTTGGGCTCAATCATCATAACTAAATATGGGATGCTATTCTTCAAATTGTTTTCTATGTATCCATATGTAATGGGTCTTGCGGATGTACTCTTTTGCTCCTTTAATCATAATAAAAACATGTTCAAGCAAATGCATTTTGCTTGGAGTATTTCAGGTGAACCTGTGATCCTGGTTATACATAGAAATCAGGGGACAAGAGACTGGAGAGCAGTCCCGTGGAAAGAGATGTGGGGGTTTGGGTTGACGGCAAGTTGAATATACATCAGCAGTACACTCTGGCAGCTCAAAGGGCCAACCGTGTCCTGGGGTGCATCAAGCATGGCATAGCTAGGCAGTTGAGAGCGGTGATCGTCCTACTCTACACTGCATTGGTGCAGCCCCACCTCAAGTACTGCGTGCACTTCTGCATGCCCCAATGTAAGGACATCAAACTATTAGAGGAGGGTAATCAAGATTGTGAAAGGCCTCAAGGGCCCCTCCTTATAAGGAGTGTCTGAGGTCAATTGGCTTGTTCATCTTGGAAAAGATAGAGAAGTGACTTCATGGTAGTCTACAGCTTCCTCAAGGGCGACAGCAGAGGAGGAGATGCTGATCTCCTCTCTCTGGTGACCAGCAACAGTACACAAGAAAATGGAATGAAGCTGCATCTGGTGAAGTTCAGACTGGGCATTAAGAAAAGGTTCACTGAGAGGGCAGTCAGTCACTGGAACAGGATTCCCAAGGAAGTGGTCACAGCACCAAGGCTGTCAGAGTTCAAGGAGTGTCTGGATGATGCTCTTAGTCATGCAGTTTAGTTTTAGATCATCCTGTGAGGAGCAGGGAGTTGGACACAGTGGTCCTTATAGGTCCTTTCCAATCTGAGATATTCCATGATTTTATGACTCTTTTCTCAGAGTTGGTCCATTGCTTGCAGAGATAGGAGAAATGAGAGTCTGTCCTAACTCTGAGCTAAGATACAATGCTGAGACCAATCTTCTGTCAGGAAGGGACTGGCATGACCCATAGTCCCTCATGCTTGCAACTCAAACTTGTCAGATGTTACACTTCCAGCACAAACCATGATGCATCCAGCTTCTCTGAAACAGGAGCTGATAAGCAGTTTGGAACGCAGCTGGATACGTGCAGAATCCACATCCCACTCAGACATCAATGCTGCCTCAGAAAACACATGGGAACGGGAAACAGAGAAGAATTTTCTAGTTATCTTTGTGGCGTATTTATAAAGCTTTATGGGCTCTTATATTGTAACTGAAGAGAATAATCATGCTAAAAGAAGAAACTTCTTTGGCAAGCTATAGTTTCTCTCTGGAATGAATTATTCTTCCCTTTGTCACTGAAACAAGAGAGGAAACAGACCTGTCAGGAACTGCCATAGAGAAGTACCAGAAGAGTCAAAGAGAAGGGGTTGAGGTGCGTGCATGTGAAGCTACTGAGAGAAAGCTGTGCTCTTTCCTGACTCCAGTAAGAACTGCATGGCACCGGTGCTGAGTGGTCTGTGGTGGTATGATTTTCACAGAATCACAGAATGTTAGGAGTTGGAAGGGACCTCAAAAGATCATCAAGTCCAACCCCCCTGCCAGAGCAGGATCACCTAGACTAGGTGATCCAGTTCCACCACAATATTTTGTTTGTCCTACTTGTTTTGGCTAGTCCCCACCCCTGCTTCAGCCCCTCAAGATAACACATATTTGGGCAGCACCTAGGGTGCATAACTTGCTGGTACCTAACACAACCTTGCAAAAGAAGGAAGATAATGTGACACAACTTTCACTGGTGTATAAATAGTTCAAATATTTTCCTTCACTTTCCTGTATCTTAGTCAATTGCTGGTCAGGAAATAACAAACGGGGAAATTTATTGTAGTAGAGCTACAATGTGTTTAGTATTGTCCTGGAGCTTCTGTTGATCTGGTCATGGAAATTGGGCACCTAAAATCCTCAGGACACTTACTATTCAGCTGATTTATTTAAAAACTGCACTATTTCTAGGTCATTGTAGTCCTTATCAATTAAAACATCTTCACAAACAGAAGATGCAAAGAAGTACATCTATTCCTGCATGTAGACTGATAGATTCAGTCCAACCTTCTGATTTCTGCTGACTTCTGCCCACACATCAACAGTCATATTCTTGCCCTCAGTAGTCACTTCCTTAAACTTCCTTAACATTCTCAGCCTGATGTTTTCAGATACTGAAAACTTTGAAACCATTTTGGGACTTGGCAAATGACACACCCAGCTGAGGAATGGATGCTTGAGTCCTCAAATCTCAGACACAGAAATATTTGTCTAACAGTTAAAAACTTCAACAGCCTTACATACCTGAAGCACTGTAGCTTCTGTAACAACAGGCACATGAAGGACAGGCCTGGATGTAGCCCAGTGTTGGGTGACAGATACTAAACCTCCATCACCCAGCATGGAACAAATCCTCTCCTTTGTGCCAACAGAGGAAGCTACAGATTTCTCTTTACACCCCCAAAGAAGGTAAATAGCACCATGTCCCAGAGACTTTGACTCTCTGCTGTGTCATCAAATACAGCTGCATCACCCTCTTTTTTACCACCCAGTACTTCTTTCAGCATGAGTATGTAAGAAAGCTCAGACTCACAGCTTTAGGACCCATCATAAGAGGTGCTCTGCCACCACACCCCATATATATTTGTAATTCACACGTGCAAAGAGACACAATTAATTCAAAGGATTAGTGCGTTGTGCAGATACTAGACCACACTTGTTCACCTGCCTGCAGTCTTACTGTAGGTAAGTAAGTAACGTAATTGATTTCCGTAGGGATGACAGAATTTGACCCTGGGGCTCTACTGTATATTCCATTCCTAATTCTTCAAATACATAAGAAAGTAAGTAATACTGCTTGGTTGAACAAAATCAGTTATTTGCAAAAATTGGTCTCCTGAAGTTCACAGTATTAGAGAGTAACGTTGATCAGAAAGGGAAGCTGACAGTCATCTGGTCTTCAAAGCTACACCAGCTTGCTCAGGGCCCTTTCCAGCCAGATGCTGCATAAATTTAAGGTTGGAGAATCCACAGCCTTCTGATTAATTTAATTTTAAACACAAATCCAAATCTCACTAATGTTGAAGTAGCATAAGCCATTCAGCCAGCTTAGCTTTCTCTCACCAAATGAGAGGTGGCCACACATGAGAATGAGTCCTGCCACTTCCTTCGTTTTGATTCTCAGCCCCCAAAGCTCTTACTGTCTTTCCTCACTCTTAACCCTCTTTGAACCAATTTCTACAGAAGATCTCTGTAAATCCCAAGCAGTGCTTAGTCACCCTGTGAACAGAAAATTCCTAGGATGGTTGACAATGCTTAGGAGTAAAGGTGAGATAATGCATAGCTTCGTGCTACACATTTTTAGTCCCAGTAGCATAATTTATACTTTGTCTCCTTTTTGCTATATGTGGATATCAATGTGCTATCATTTGGCCTCCCTTTCCTCACTATTACACTCTTAAACATCACAAGATAAAGACTCCAGTACCATACAGTCTAACTGTGACAGAAGCAAATGCTCACAATTGCATGCTACTCCTGGGGAAAGAAAAAAGAAGATTCCAAACAAATTTTGAACTTTTTTTTTGAACTTATACAGCACTTCCCTACTTTTCCTGAATGTTAGCAATAGCAACCCATAGTCCAGAACCAATGCATTCAAACAATGAACTTCTAGTAGTGGCACTTTACAGGTGACAGATCCTGGAGGTGAGCAAACCCTTACAATGGAAGGCTGACTTCTTAGTCACACATGTCAAATCCCAATGTGGCTCTGATAAGAAGCCAATTTGGAGTGGGAGAATAGTGAGGTAACAGATGAGTTCCTCTAAGGAAGGCAGAGATACAGGAATTAGAAGTGAATAAAGTGGGTGGAAGAGGAATCATTAAACTCCACAGAGCTGTCTGTAAGAGCAGTTCCCCTTTCCTCTTCCCTCTTTTCTTTGTCATTCTGCCTCATTTCCCCTAGGCTGTCCAGCATTGCTGTCATTGCTGTCCAGCAACTCCTTTTTCACATGCCACTGACCACTCCACCCTCACCACATTCTTCTTTATCTTCTTGCCCTTCAGCAACCTCTACTTCCTGGGGCAGTGAGGGAAGAGGGCAAGGCTAGGGTAAAGCCTTGTTTCTAAGAGGAAAAATGTCAGGGAGAGAAGGTTCATGACTAAGGAAGAAAGTGGGAGGAGAGCATTGTCGCTCCTACTGCCTAGACAGATTATCTGACATACAATAAGGCTGCAGCAGCTACAGAGTCCAAGCTGCATCTCAGCTGCACCTGCAAGAGGTGGGGTGAGGGCCCATTCCTTCAGCCACAAACAGAGAGCAAGTGCTCTGCCCTCCTTACATGCACTCTGCTCACTTTCCTTAGCCTGATGTTGCCTCTGTATCACAGGATTAAAATTTGTCTTGGTCTATGTCTTGGTCTGCCTATGTTCTCAGACAAGAAATTAGCAACCACAGAAGCAAGGGATATCAAGAAAGCCTCAGAAGATAAAGCCAAAGCTCTAGAAAATGAAGGGAGACAGACCAAGAAAGAAAAGTCTAAAGCAGCTGAAAGGGACAATCACACTTATTTTAAACTACACAAAGAGAGTTCTGCTTTTGGCTTTGAAGGAGCTAAAAGAGCCACAAATACCAGTCCAAAAGATAATTGGGCCATGAAGATCTTCATACAGCTGAACTGCAACTGGAACGGGCAGCTCCAAAGAGCTTTC